GATATGGAGCTAAAAGTGCAGAACAACTAAAACCAAACTATATTTTACAAAGGTGCTTGTTAGCATGAGCAACTCCGGCTGAGGAGACAACAGATGTGCACAATGAATTAAAAAAGTGTCTTTGTGATCTCAAGGTTCCCAATATCAAACTGCAAACAAATGCTGAAATTGCATTTCCTGTGAAAATTGATTGTGTTTTGCTGAACGMGTTTGCTGAAATCTGCTTAGGTACCTGAAGCCAAGTTGTAAAGGTTTAATAGCTAAACTTTTAATTCGGGTTCAATTTGAACAGTTGCCTTCAGCTAAAAGTGAATTAGCAGAAWGAAATTGAAAGGAGCTTAAAAAGCTGAAAGTAACAAAAAGAAGTTGAAAGAAGTCCACGCACAAAGGAGTTATAAAATGGCTGAAGAAAGCAAAAAGCTGAAATATGCAACAAAAAGATGTAAACTTAGCACAAAGAAGTAAAAAAAAAAAAAGGCAGAACCAGTACAAAAGGTGAAAAGCTCTAATGTGTTAACATTTCACAGTGTTTGACTGCTCCATTTATTTTAAAGTGAGGGAAAAAATGGCAGAAAAAAAAGATAAATATCTCACAAAGTTGAAGTATCAAGAGTCATAGCAGGAGTGTCCTGAAYGAGCTGAATGTTTGGATGTATAAATTATTTAAAGAACACAAAAATCACTAAAAGAGTTATGTGCTGAAAATCATACAGAAGAAAATAGGATCTCAATAGTGTGAATGTTTCATCAGCATTCATGATATAAACAAAATGTGTTGTGAACATCACAGAGACAGAACCAAACCTGACAAGTTAGGAAAACGTGGGTTTACCAACTGATGTTGCATTATTTAGTAAAAGTATTTCATTTGCATGTTTTTCTTATATAACGCAGCTTTATTGACAGGAGGAGGGTTGAATGAGACTCACAGGAAGACGTGGACGATAGAGACTGAGAGGGTCGGAGGATAGAGGTGAGGCCTCCTTCTCAGCTCTGCTGGGAGCCTAAATGCTTCTTCATTGGTAAGCAGTGAATAATTCATCTTGTTACCATAGAGAGGATGCTCAAAACACATCTGCATGTGCAGACACACACACACTCAAACACACACACACTCAAACACACACACACACCGCAAAAATCATATTCATGTCACAGACAGGCCATCTTTACGACAGACAGCCCCATCCAGTGTGGAGCCTTTATTATTCACTAGCTTATGAACTCCGTAGGACCCCTCACTCCCCGACAGTCTGTGTGTGTGTGTGTGTGTTGTGTGTGTGTGTGTGTGTGTGTGTGTGTGTGTGTGTGTAGGTGTGTGTACAGATGGGGCTTGTGTGTATTTGTGGCATGCAAGAGTTTCATTTTTCTGCATGTGTGAGGGTGAAACGGAGGACATAGAAGAGAGGCATTCACCTTTTCATAACCCTGAGGTGCACACACACACACACACACACACACACACACACACACACACACACACACACACACAAGTTTTTTTATATGTTCTGTGAATGAAGCTTTTCTTTTCCTTTGT